TTGCACTAATAAGTAAGTACAATTTTATCATATGTTTTGCAAATTCATTTCCCTAATTGTAGTAGTAATTTAAACCGTTTGATTTTTGTATTAAAGTTTTTTTAATTGATTGATGATTGATTCAATCAACTAATTTGTTGATTGTATTAACTTGATTCTTTAGATATTGAAAATTAAATAAATAACATTATGTTAATTTAAGCGTACAGAAACGTTGCTGTTGTTCCAGCAAAAATCTTATTTTCACTTTACCGAGTGCCTAGTAGGTAATGTGAGAAATGGAATAATTTTCGCAGCTTTAACGGATCACACTAGTTAATCTGCAGATTAGTTAGGTAATGTGCACATTAACGGATTTCGAGCTTTAGCGGTAACACATACAGTACTACGGGATATGGTACTAGTTTACAACCGAATTGGGCGCCTCTAGTGGTGAATTCTGGAACTTGGGTTTTCCCGCCAATACGACACACTTCAAGAACAGGTGTTATATTTAAACGAATAATTTGTAAGTTTCTGAATTTTACTTTATTAATCAAAATTTTTTAGTAATTGGTGTGAAGACACAAAAACATATTTTTCTCTATCTCTATGCATCTGTATACTATGTGAGTTCGTACAGGTGAAGATGAATAAAACAAACACCTGCCTAACCGTTGTGTAAATATATAATCGTATGATTTATTAACTACCTGCAGTTGTTTTTCATCTGCCTAAACAACTAACAGGTAATCTATTTATAAATTTGATAATAGGTGAGGCCCTTACACAGAAACCCTTATCAGGGTCCCCTGCTAGGGCCTCATATCGAAGGTCTCAAAAACTTTGGATACAAATCATTTCACTTTTAAGTTATTTGTGACTAAAAACACATGGTTAATATAATACAGTGCCAGCCCGACAGTGCCGGCCCGAGGCAAGTTTTAGGATGGAGCGAGATCCTATTTTGGCGCTCCCCGAAAATATCGAAAAGTGAAAAAATAATTTTTCCTTTATATTTTTTTACCACTGAGGCGCCCCCTAGGACTTAGCGCCTGGAGCGGCTGCTCCGTTCGCCCTATGGTAGGGCCGGCTCTGCAGCCCGAGGCGAGTTTTAGGATGGAGCGATATCCTATTATGGCACCCTCTTAGTCAGTAGCGTAGCAAACATAACTGGCGCTTGGGGCACGACACTTTATTGGCGCCCCTCCAGAAACACACAGTTTGTCTTGGAGACCATTTGCGCCGGGCGCAACTCGCAGAGGGGTGCCCGGTGCTTGATGCGCCCCCTCACTACGCCACTGCCCTTGGTTGCCCCCAAATTTATGCCCTTTAATTTTCTTTATCACTGAGGTGCCCCCTAGGACTTAGCGCCTGGAGCAGCTGCTCTTTTCGCCCTATGGTAGGGCCGGCTCTGATATAAAATATATATATATATTAACCTTTTTTTTTTTTGTCAAATTTTATTTAAAAATAAAATACGATTGCTGAAGTGGATAAGGTGTTGGCCCATAGCGCTGGGGAACCCAAGACCAAATTTGGGCAGTCAAGAAAATCCCAAGAATTTTTACTCTGATATGTCACGTTCTGGCCCAAACTTGTAATTGGCTTGAGAAAAGGCCCTTTTATTGCTTGCGGGCAGTGTCTAAAAGTCTCTCAAGGAGAGACTCTGTCCTTTGCCACTTGATTGTCCTCATTTTGGACCTAACCAAACCCACTTTGGATGTGGGAACAACGTACTCTTAATTCTGATGGAAATTGGAAAAAGGGTAAAAAATGAGAAATATGTATAAAAAAGGTATAACTTAGGTGTATTTAGGGGATGATAGAGATAATGTTCTCTTGTACATAAAAAATATATTTTTGAATTTATTCCTCCCAAAAATATATATTTATAAACTTGTTCCCAATGTCCCCTCATGATATCTAAATGCATAACTGGTGGTTGATAATGTTAAAATTAGATAGATAATAAAAAAATAATACCCAAATATCTATTACATATATTTTTTATAATAGTTTATAATTTATACTGAATAAGAAATCGTTACTTTGTCTACTTCAAAACAACTAACATTGTTATAGACACTTTTTAAAATAATAATAATTAATGTATAATAGCAGCTTTTCAGTTTTAATATCAGCCAATCAAATTGTTACATAATAGATGTATGAGCACACATTACCAATGATTACTACAGTATATATATAGGATTTTAAAGATACAGTATAAGTTTGATTGCGTATTACAAAATACAGAACAGGTGAGAGATTTCTTTCACGTTTAATATATTTTTTTCAAGAATTCTAGATCCTATACAAGCAGTTAATTACTTTTTATAAAATAATTTAAGATCTGAAATAAGTAATTCATTCTAGAATAATTAAATTACAATATAGAAAAAGTGAAACAATAATTTCTTTTTATTATTAAATTTTCTTTCTTGTTAAGATTTATCATTGATATGCATTGCTGTTTATATTTACCCTTTAAATACAGACAAATCTGTGATAATTATATTAAAAAAATTTTTGCATAAATTTTATTATACTAGAATTTTATATAATTTTTTCTTTGAATAATTAATTTCAATTAAATCAAGAATAACAAATATACAGTAAAAAAAGACAGTATTATTTTATTGCCTGTTGGTTGTATACAGAGATACAGTGCTTAACAATGTTCTGACTAATAATAGGCCATACAACAAGGTCCCATCTGTAAATATCTGTTGTTACACAGAACATTAATGGAGCTGAATCATTTGTAGCCACATATTTTACACTTGATATATTTCTCTAAGTTAGGATAACCAGATGTCTCTGGTTTTGCCTGTTTTTAATATTTGATTGCAGAACTTATTTTTGAATAGAGAAATTTTATTAACACCCCAATACAGTAGCACCAATTTATAAATCAATAAATATACATTATTTTAAAAAATAACCAAAATTCAATCAGTTTTAGATCCCATTTTCACTGATTCTGAAATGTGTCTTAATGAGATTTAATTTATTTTATTCTGAAATAAACTATAACTATTTGTTAATTAGTTCAAGAGTGAGTATAATCAATAACTTGATTTAGTTAGTTCCGTGTATTTTGTTTCAAAATCCTGATTCCTATACATATCAAAGCAGACACAAACAACAACTTAATACCGAATTGGAAGATACCAAATTGGGCTAACTATGAAAATGGTAATTATTTCAAATGTTATAGCCATAACTTGTAAATACGGTTAATAAATGGCTTTGATAGTTTAGAAAATGTATGAGTAATTAAGATATTTCTTTTTAATTTTTATGCACTCATCTCCTGTTGCAAGGTAATAAACCCTGGCCTCGAAAAAACTCCAAGTCTTCAGATAAACCCTAAGGTTTATTTGATAAATCCCTTTAATTAATTTAAAGTAAAAATAAATTGTACAATTTTATATCAGTGTGTCAATTTTTAAATTGTTTTTAACTATTGAGATTTATGTTAAATTATATGCATTGTAACAGTTTAGTTATATATATTTAAATAAAGGCATCTTAATTCTCGTTTTGTTTGTAAAGAAAGCACATAGCAAAATGAAAAGATTAATATTGATAGATAATATAATACTGTTTCTATTTAAGAAAAAATAAATTTTGTGCAATGCATTCTCTAAAAATGTGTGTTATTTTGACATTAAAATATGTTTTCTAAGAAAAATGTTCAGAATTCCTTTTATTACAGTATTCAATTATCAATCCCAGTATTCTTTCATAATTTAAAAAAAAATTTGTAGCCCACTTCTTCAAAATAAAACTACAATGTGCCCCATGGGCATTAATGTATAAAGGCCAGAGGGGATGTATCTTTCCAATATTTTGTACTGGCAAATTGTTCCCCTCTCAATATATTTTTATTTTATACCATGCTACAAAAATTAGGAATAGAAACGAGTACTGTACACAACAGATAAACCAGTGTTTTAGCCACCTCAAAACCCATAAATGAGAAATTTTGGCTCAATTCCTCCAATATGTATTGTTGATTGGTGATCATAACCTCATTTCTCCACATTTTTGCATTAATGAGTTGTAAAGTCAATTTATATATACTGCCAAAATCTTAAGCCCTTTCTCCGAGGTTAAAAAATGTGGACTTGTACTCAAAAGTTTGTTTCCTTTAAACCGTGTGTTTTAGCCTCCAGTAAAATTTTATGAAATGTGAATACAAAATTTTGATTTGCCAACTGATGATGTGCCTCATAAATCTTAAATGATTGCCAACCCTGCTCTGTAAATGGAAAGATGAAGATGAGATGCAATAGTTCTTAGAATGAAATATACAGTGAATGCTTTTTAATTTAATAATATAACTGGGGTGGCCAAACTTTATCAAAATGTGACCAGAAATAATTGAGAGCTGCATCTTGTATTGGAATGATATTTTATATATAACAGTGTATAAATATATAGAAGAATAGCATCAAAGTTGGATCCCTGATCTAAAGTTATAGAAGACCTGAAGTTTGGCTCCCATGCAAAACATAAAGTCTTTGTTAATGTATATTTCATAAATGTATGCCAGCAACTCTTTTATAATGAACATAATAATAAGATTTTATTACTAATTTCATTGTATTTTTTATGATATATGATGGCAGTTTATAACTACTATTGTATTTATTTCTTAAAATGGCAACAGAAAATGGGATAATAATCAATCATAATGAAAACATTTTCAAAACATAATAATAATATTATTACAGAAGTTAAATATTGGACAGTTGTAATGGCTTATTCGAGATAAAAGTGTATTTGTCGTTTGCTTTCTTGATAATTATATAAACAATCATGAGAGCTTAGATAAGTTGTAACCATATTTATCTATGTGTATTTTCTGTAACCTGACACAAATGCTGTCAAATTGTATATAATGTAAAAATGACTGAATAAACAGAGTCCTCCAAAAAGAATTCTACCATTGACCAATTGAATAAAAAAATTCATATATTTTATGCATTACATGTATCAAAGATTATGTTCAGTGTATTTTTCTTCAACTTCTTGGCACTTTTACAGATAAAGTGCTGCGTATCTTTCTTTTGAGGGAATATGTAGGGATATATAAGGTGACAGGTGATAAATGATTTCAAACTTTTTGAACACCCTGTATATATGGAAGTAATAAATTTAAAGTTGATCTGATAATTCATTCAATAGGTTACAACTGTGAGTTTCCTTGAAGATGATTTATTAGTATCTACTTTACATTTACTTTATTGTAAAGTGATAAAAATTAATGTTTATACATCACAATAAAGAATGAATTTTTATGTTTTAAATTGATGATAAATGTGCAACAGGACTGATCATTACAGTTTTATTTATATAGGTAGTCTGTTTAACATTTCGTTGCCGTATCATGGGAAAACATTTGAACATACTATAACCAAATTTCATATTTTGAATCTGTAGAATCAGGAGAAGGTTTACACATATGATTTTAAAATCTACATTATATAAATTAAACTGTAATGTTTTCATTCTGTCTGTTTTTCTATCTATTTTCTAGACAGTAACACTTGAATTAGCTGCTGCCCATCAAGTGATTGTCTGTAAGAAAGTTGTAATAAGATTTGTCATGCATATATGTAGTGCCGTCTAGCAGAATAATACCTCTTTTTTCTAACTTCTCCTGATTTCCTGAATGTTAGTTCTTCAAACATGATACTATTGAAGTATCATATTTGAAGAACTAACATTAAAAAATAATTAGTGAGAAATTAGCAAATCAGGAGAAGTTGGAAAAAAATGGCATTATTCTGCTAGACGGCACTACATATATGCATGATGAATCTTTCAAAGCATTTTGTGTTGTGTTCATGGTTACTTAAATAAAACTTATTTGATTTTTATAAATGTATGCAACATTTACTGTCTCAAATGACAAACCATATATCATCTGTAGTAGTTTTTTTTTTTTTTTTATGTAGAGCTGTGTTATAATTCAATAAAATGTTAATGAAACCTCGATGTTTTCTTATTTCATTATTTTGTTTTTGTTTCTAATTATTAAAAATGTTCTTACAACAATTACAGATTTAATATTTTTTTCATATTTATAGAAATGAAGGTATTTTTACTGGTTGCGACAGTACTGTTTGGAAATGTAAAACTCTGCTTATTTGATGCTACAATGGATGCGAGTGATGTGACATGGGGTCATGCAATTAATAGTAATAAATTATTGGAAGAAAATCTTAAAAGTTAGTGTTTTTCATTATTTTAAAATTAAATGTTTAATTAATTTTATATGATTGTCTTTCAAAATATTGATAAGACTGCTTTAAAGTATAAATAAACAAAAATATCATGATATTTACATATGTTATAATAAACTATTGGAATGGGTCTTCCAAAATGAATGCTACCTTTCTAATTATTGTAATTAAGTTAATTATTATACAAGAAATATGTGACATATGCCAGTCAATAGAGTAACTGTCCGAGTTTCATCTCGTTTGCATTCAAACATCTCATTTTCTACTACCTCTAGGAAGCCCTGAAAAAAAAATGTTGACTCTACAATCAGAGAAAACATTTTGTATTCTGCAGTTTGCAAAGTTGGAATCACTCATCATTGTGCAATGTGAGTAATTTGCAAGAGCCGTAGAATTTTGGCTTCCGTGGGAAGAGTGGTGACAGATATGTTGTAGTGAATAGGAGGAATTTGGGTATCTGTCAGACTTGTGTCATGCAATGCAATGTGCACACATTGAGAAATTATAATGGCTAAATGTGGAACTTTGATGGTTTTCCAACATTTTCGTGGCATTACAGTGTTCTCGGGTAATAATTAACATAATTATAATAATTTAAAATGGTTTTTTTTGGAAGATTATACATTTTTAACAATTGTATGAATGCTAAAATTTTTTTTACATTTGCCTCATTATCAGATGGAAGCTAATTCAAATAAAGAACAATTTTTTAAAATAATGTAATGGTGCCATTTGAACATTTGAAGTATTCTGCATCAGTAAAATTTGCATTTTGAACCATAAATGAATTAAGTGAAATGCTATGAAAAACATTTTATCTTGATTAAAATAAAAACTCCTTAATATTTAAGCAGTTGTGTAATTGAGTGATATGGTCATATAGATCTGGACAAGATTATACCTTTCATATCAACAAATATCTAATAAATAGCAATAATATTGTTTATTTTACAGACACTTTATTTAAGCATTATTTAAAAATACAATTTTATAATATCTAACATTGCCTGCTACTGTTATTAATATTTAATATGTTGATGAAATAATAATTTTTATTAAGTAATGTAAAAGCTATAAGACATGTTCATAAATGTAAAATTTTCAGACTAGTAATAATAACATATGTATGAATGTGAAACTTTTTATACATCCTTCACTGGATTCACAATGTAAATAATGCAAGTTGACTTCATTTTAGTTCTCATTATAGATAAAAAAGGATTGTCACTTTTTATTAAGTTTAAAATTATTTCTGTACTTTCGGTTTTTTGTTTTATATGAAATATCATTCTAAAGTATTCTATTATTGAAAACTAAATTACATTATTTGCACTGTTAATTTGATGAAGAATGTTCAGGTGTTTGAAGTTACTCTGCAGTGAGATATTTGTAATGAAATTAAATATACATTTATGCATTGTGTACAAAACCTGATGTCCAGTGTTTCCACTTTGTAATAGATGATGTCATTGCTTGCTCACAGATGTTCTGGTTTTTGTACTACAGTTTTTGGAAGACTGCCTATTACTTAATTAATCTCCCATGGAATCTGGCCTGGTAGTTTTTCAGACTCCACTTTTCCAGAATTGCCTAGACCGGGGGACATTTCTTGCATTTGCTGAAGAAGAAACTACAATACTCTATAAAACTTTTCTTAAACCTATCCACTACACAGTAACTTTTCAACACCTGGGGCCGTATTCTGATCACTATCTCTGGTCTCTCATCTCTCGCAAGCCGGTTGCTGATTGGCTAATCCAAATGATTAGCCAATCAGCGACCGGCTTGTGAGAGACGAGAGACCAGAGACAGTGACCAGAATACAGCCCCTGTATTATTGAAATCTATTCTAATTTACACATATTCTGATACTTACATTTGTTTTATATCTAGATGATATAAACTTCTTAGAGGCAGATGTTTCTTTAGGAGATGTTATGGGACCGAATCCAGAACGCTCTGTTCCTATTATGGCTCATCCACCTATTGTAACGAGTGATATTTCTCTCCAGAGCTGGATAGAAAAAGTCATACTAGCTGAAACTGGCAAGGGTGTAAAATTAGATTTTAAATTTATTGAAATTGTCGAACCTTCATTGCAAATTTTAAAAAGTCACGAAAACAAGGTAAGTTTAGTTAGCATTTTAATTTTACACATAAAGTAAACTAAATGATATAGAAATTCATAACACATTCGTTGGGCATATCCAGACAGTCCACCTTCCAAAAAATTCCTGGGGCTTTTCAATTTGTCCAGATTTGATTCCAGCTCCCCTGAGTGGTGAGCTGACAACTTAACTGCACGGCATCTGATATTTCATGTATGTTGTTTCATACTATCAGCTTAACTTGTTTTAAACAGACACCCACAATTGCCATAACTAATTGGGCTATATTTTGGAAATAATAATTATGAATTACAAATAAATTTGGCACTAGAGGGAGGTGTTAGGTGCCATCTCATATTAAAATTAATAATTACTTCTTCTTTGGCCTTAGTCCTGCTTAACAGCGGGGTCGGCACACCTGGATTTTATTTTGAATCTTCATTTGGCTTGATCATGGGCCTGGTCTGGGTGTAGGCCCACGACTTGCAGGTCATGGTGTAGCATGTCCAGCCAACGCTGCCTCGGGCGGGATCCAGGTACCTCCAAATTTAGGCCCATGTGGATGATGGTGTCGGCATCAGACAGAGCACATGGCCATAGAGGTGTAGGTGCCACTTGCGTGCTTTCTCGCTGATCTCAGCAACTCCATACTGGGCTCTGATGTCAATGTTGGGTACTCAATTAAGTCTGGTAAGGACACTCATCCAACGCAGCATCCTAGTCTCCATAGTGTCAAGTCGGCAATCAACAACCTTCGTAGTTGGCCTGCACCCGGCACCATACAGTGTGATTTTAATCATCATCAGGCTGAACCGTTGTCCAGCCTGATGATGATTAAAATTAATAATTATAATATTTAATTAATTAATTTAGAATAAACTGGAAGAAAAGAATCAGCTCAAAGCAGGGCTTGAACCCACAACTCCCACTTACAGTGTGGATGCATTCCACTTCTGTGACTTGTTTTGTTGTTTAAATGTTAAACATGTTAATTATATTAATCATTATTTGATCACAGTACAATTATACAATTGCTGGTATTTCTTACCATAATTAATAATCAGTTTCAATTAATTATTAATTAAGGAAAGATCTGTTGTTACAGATAAGTGTTATTACAGTAAGCAGATTCTATTGTGTATTAAATGAATTAAGCCAGATTATTTACTGATTATTTTTAAAATTATATTTTTAATTAATATGTAATTTTTTAGTAAAAGTGAGCAATGTGATCACCTCATATTGAATTTAGTAATAAAATTGGGAGTAAAAAATTGATTTAAACTTGGAACTCATAAATTGAGCAGGCAAGTTGCTAATTCTGCTTTTTGCATTTCTAAGTTGATGTCTGCTTCTAGTCATACAAATAATTTAAAATTATGGATTGGCTTATCAGTATACTGTTTTCTCAATTCTAATGCACATCCAATTTTTTAGACATCAAAACCCCCCCAAAAAAGTTAGCTTATGAATTTGCCCTGTATTGGAAACATGACCACAAAAATTAATGTATTTAAACAATATTAAATGCATTTTTTGAAAAGCATTTTATTTTCATGTTTACAATGCTTTATGACGATCATATTTTCAAACATATTCACTCATGACTCCATTATTGGGTACAGAGGATTTGCAGACAGTACAAAATCGCAGTCAAAATTATCATATGATAAATGTTTTAACAGTAAGATTTCATGTCAGTATGCACAAGCATAAAATTTACTGGATACTTGGTATCACACTGAAATATACATGTTCTTCATCATAATGGATAACTCTGCTTATAGGAGAGTTGTTTTTGCTGGACATAATTCACTTGGCTTATAAACATGCAAATTGTCAAGAAGAGTGAATAGCAAATGAGGTCACATTAGTCAACTTTATGTCTAATTCTAATGCACATACCAGTTTTTGTGACCAGAAAAATCCAAAATAAGAAACACATTAGAATTGAGGAAACAATAATCATAGCTTAAAAATCATAGCTTAAAAATATTCCAAGAATAATATGGTTTTTCTTAATTTAAAATCATTAATGTTCACAAGTAAAATTCAATTCTATGTTATAAATATGAAATTAATGATGATTTTGTTTAATGATTTTTCAGTTAACATTTCCTCTTTGGCTAAATGCAGACATTATACCAGGGCCAATAAACGCAGATACAAAACCTGTAGACAGTGCTAAATTTTTGCAACTCTGTCAACAATACTTTCCCGCTGCCACTTTATCTGTAGGTTGGACAACAAAATTTAGTTTCGATGGTCAAGGATCTTACACATGGCTTCACATTAAAGAGATGTTAGATGCATTGCACTGTGCCAAAATAAAACAACCAGTGACTTTCCCCATACGAGCAATATTTGTACAGCATTCTATCGATCAGTTAGTCTGGTTGCTTGGTGCATTTCCCAATTCAACTTTGACAGTGTGGAGTTCAGTGATTGACAATGTCAGTATCAGCAGTTTATTAAAGTTGAGGTCACGTCTACCATTTTCGTATGTCTATTATGATTTACCATCTCTGTTGTTAAAACAATTTAATGAAAGCAAAAACAGAATTCGACCTCCCAGTGTGCCTTATAATTTTAATCACTATAAATGGATTCCAATTGGAGATGAAGAAGAATGCAGTAACAAAACTTTTATATCTTCATCAGGAGCATTGTTTCCTAGTGGAAATCATGGTTTAATGCTAAACTTGAAACCTCAGAGTGAACTGAAATTTGAAGGTGAAATCACATTTATTCATTTGGAAGCAGAATCATCACTTCATTTACTATTGTATGAAGGTAAATATTTTCCATCTCCTTTACTTTCTACAGAGAATTTATCCAAAGAATTAAAAACCCGTGCAATAATTTCACACACTTTTAGTAATGAGGATGTACATAAATATTTTAAATTAACTTTCGGTCCTCGCAATGGATCTTTAGTCATTTCTGATAAGAAAACTGATCAAAAAGTTTTAACACACAATTTTAATTATACTGAAAATGTTACTATTATATTTATATCAGAAGGAGGACCTGCAGTATTATATAATGCAGGAAACGAAACGGTTTCCTCTTCTGTAATTCCAAAATTATCTGTTATCAATGCATTAGTTGTTGCCATTTTCTCTCTTATGAGATTCTTGCAGAATATATGAAGTTTATTGTTCAAGAATGAAGTCTCTCAAGGTTGTTGGTTTTTTTTTTTTTTTATTAAATTGGGAAATAGGCTGTTGCATTGTTAATTTGGAAAAACTTTATTAATATATACATATATATCAATATGTAAGACTAATTTTAAAATAGTATTTCTTATATGATGTTCATATGAAGCATTCTATTTTTATACTGGGTTTTGGAGTGTACAAAATTTTTATAGTTTTAATAAATGTTTAACATATGTTGTTAAGTTTTTGATATAATCTAAAATTATTTACATTTGAAAGACATCTTTGCATACTCAAAACATTGCATTTAAAGTTTAAAACACAAGCTTAGAGCACTAAATTATGGTTTTTGGTAATAAAAAGTGATTGTTACTGCACACAGGTTGCGTTTAATTCCTTCTTATATTTATTTGATTGAGACTAGAGTATAGCATTGGTACACTAAGACACTCCAGGGACAGCTCTAGACACTAGCAAAGAAGTGGTTGGGATGGCACATTTTCAAGTGTGGTATTTCACAATAAATAATTCAGTTACAAAAAAGTAGATTTTTAAAATTTTAATTTTAAAAATATAGAAGGGCAAACAACATTGTTTGCTTGAGATTGTAAAATTTCTATCATCACTCTATATTTATTTGAATGGGACTAGTTGTTGTGTACAACATTTTATTAATTCCTAGAACACCACATATTCATTTGAATTGGATTAGGTGGAGAGTACTGCTTTGTGGGTCTATCAGTTGTTTAATGTCTGTGTAATTGTTTGGCTTTAGGAATTTCACAACCAAAAAGTTGAGGGATAATTCTTGATGATGATTTGGAGAGGAAGAATGTACTAAGAGATTAATGTCATGCTGTCTGTTACTGACCAATATTATGGCTGAAATTTTGAAGTAGACAAACTCAAAACTTTATTTGATTTTTCATTGCTTATACCATCTAATGTTTTAATAATTGTCTATATGAAACTTGAATTAATTAATGCAAAAGTTCTTGTATGTTATGGCACATTAAATACCTCAAATTATACAATATTTTCGCATCTTTCATAATAAATATTTCTGTTCCAAAGAATTTCCTCTGGAAACAGCCTACTGCTTTGTGGACCAATCCGGACTTGATTCCGGGTGCATCGGAGTGGTAGGCTGAAACTTTAACTTTTCGGCCATGCGGTTGTTCACAAAAATACTAAGACTGAAAATACCAGTAGCGTGCCGTCATTAGAAGCAGCGGATGCGNACTCCACCCTAGGCCCCTAAGAGAGGTCTTTTTAGCAAGTTCATTATGGATTCGTTCAGGGCCAGGTGATGAGGGACTGGCCACTCCAAAGAATTCCCTCTGGAAACAGCCTACTGCTCTGTGGACCAATCCGGACTTGATTCCGGGTGCATCGGAGTGGTAGGCTGAAACTTTAACTTTTCGGCCATGCGGTTGTTCACAAAAATACTAAGACTGAAAATACCAGTAGCGTGCCGTCATTAGAAGCAGCGGATGCGCCGCTTTCCTTGTATTTTCTAAAAAATAAATACATATTAATTTTAATATACACAATATATTTTGTTTTTAAAAGTGATTTTTACGAGACTTGTATACAAATAACTTAATGAAATTTTTATTGATGAGTCACAGATGTTACGATGAGCATACAGTACATGATATCTGAATAGCCCATATAATAAAGATGCTGTATAGGGTGATTATAATTAAACTGACCCTACTTAGAGCCTGCTGGAGCCACTTCTAATACGAGCAATATTTGTACAGCATTCTATCGATCAGTTAGTCTGGTTGCTTGGTGCATTTCCCAATTCAACTTTGACAGTGTGGAGTTCAGTGATTGACAATGTCAGTATCAGCAGTTTATTAAAGTTGAGGTCACGTCTACCATTTTCGTATGTCTATTATGATTTANCAAGAAGTTCATTCTGATGATAAGTTATAATGAGCATGAATTAATTAAATTATGTGTTTTTCAAACGTCACTCTTATGCATAATTAGATTGGTCGAGAAGGAAAAAGTCTACATAAACGTTTCAGTAAAAAATATAGGCCTAACTTTTTTCTGTCTCTCTATTTACACCCTCTGGCACTAAGAGGGCCTTTTCTCAAGCTTATCGTGGGTTCGGCCAGGCCCACAATAGAGCATGTGATGAAAGATGGACTCAGACATATCAGGGATGGATCACCCCTGAAAAATTCTTAGGGTATTTCGACCTGCCAGGATTTGATTTCCGGGCTCCCTGAAATATCGCCTTAATTGTCTTGACTAACCGACTGTAGGCCAAGTGTAGAGATTTGATGTTTAATACAGAGTTAAATATTTAATATAGATATTCCACTCACTCTATAATATAAAGATTCTACTTACTATAAATACAGTAGACCTCCCTATAACACTGTTGATATATGTTAATATAACACTCCGTGTTATATGAACATATATCAACAGTGTTATGAACATATATCAATATATATTGATATATATTCATAACACTGAATATATATCAATATATATCAATATGAATATATATTGATATATATATGTTCATATATCAACATATATGAACATATAACACTCCGTGTTATATGAACATATAACACGGAGGACAACATGGAATCTAAGTGACTCGAACAACATGGAATTTATATAACACGGAATTATCAACAGTGTTATAGGGGGTCTACTGTATACAATATGATTCCATTTACAGTACTAAATATTTAAAGTGATTACACTTAAAGAACTAAATCTACAATATGGGGATTCCCTTCAGTACTAAATCTGTAATAATGGGATTTACACTTGCAATACTAAATAATATGAGCATTCTATTTATTCTTCAATATAAACATCTAGGCTATTTGTTAAATATGAAAGAAATATAAAACCTGCAGGGCTACTTTTGATAGTAACTCAAAATTGGAATCTAGATGTATAATCCACATACTCAGCTAGAGAAAGAAACCAAGATTTACGTGATATGACACTACTGATGATCTAATGGCATTAACCAGGATTGTATTTTATAATATAGAAACTCTGTTTCATGAATGCTTCTTTACTATATTATTATTATGTTTTAGAATATCTTCCCGATGGAAGTAAATAATAATTTTTTAAAATTTTATGTGATTACGTGAATGAATTTTCGTAACTTTTTGGTATAATTTTTAAAAAAATTGTATTTGTTATTTTGCAGACAGTCTTATAGACCTACATCCGGTTGATGTTTTTAATTTTCTCAATATTTATACGAGAAACACTTCAGGAAAAGTTAGAATTTTTCTCTACTCCTTATGTTTAATTTTGTTTTTATAGTTAGTGGGGAAGAATTTCTCTCCCTAATCTCTCCTCTCCATTAATAGCCACTTTGAAAATTCTATGTTGATTATGTAAGCTGTTCTGTGAACAAACAGACGAATTTTTTCATTTATTCATACTCGGGGCTTTCGAGAGCGGAGATATGGGCACTTAGAGGTAGGAATCGCTACGAGCCAATAAGGTTCCTACTCCTAAATCACCTCCGGATCCGTTCCTAACTCTACGAGCCCGGTGAAAAGTTTGGAGTATACTCCTATAAATTAATATTATTTTCATTAACAAAAGATACAATCTTTGAGATTGATATTTATTAATAATGAAACATTCTGTGCATTTCAGATGTTAAAAAAAAAACGGCAAAAGGAACCCGCTAAGAAACTTAACGGGCCTTCTTTACCTCGTCCCGGAGGTCCGCGACATTCCGGGTCAATAGCCATGTTTAGAAAACTTCCAGAAAGGAATTCTTTTCTAGAATTTATCTCGACTCAATGGGTGGAGAATTATTGAATGATAGGAGAAAAGAAATACAGTAGCTTAATTATTATGGGATAGAGGAAAATTCTGCAACCTGCTTGTTGTATAGGAGAGGAATGCCTCTTTTTCCCTGCAACGAGTACAATATTTCTTATATATGAGGTTCGTTAAGCATTGATAGCATTGGAGAAAATTAATTAAAATCCTAAACAAGGCATAAAGTTTGTAAAATGTCTTAATAAACTCTTAATAAATACAGTAATTATTCAAGTGATAATGATGTATCGATTTTCTGTATTGCCCACTCAAGAAACTTTTCTGTTGTTATCTATCTTATTACTAATTGTCTTAATACTGTTATTATTTTAATTAAAGAGAGTGAATATATATATAAATATATATAATTATACACCTTTAAAGGCATCGTATTTACTCATTATCAAACTTTAAAACTATTAATTATGATTATTTTTGGAAGTTGTTAATTAATTAAAAGTACAGCTCGTTTTTTTCCTTATTCGGAGTTATATTTTTAATTAATCCGCTTATTATAAGTTTCACTATTTATAGTATTAAGGGATAAGTTGTGTTACGTTTAATGAGGGTGTCTCTACTCTAGACGCCATTAACTACTTTCGATATAAAGAGTGATTCTAAGTACTGCAACACAGGCTATTAAATTAACGACACACGAAACTTTTCCCCTTTAAAAGTTATTAATTATATGTGAATAAATGCATGACATTGAATATTTAGTCTTTTCTGCTTTCTAGTATAAGATTGAATTCTGACTAATTCCAGCCAGTTTTTGGCCTTTCCACTCTGTATCCTATTGTGTCCAAAGATATAAGATGGTTGACCTTCCTCTCGTGGCTTCAAGCACGAACTTCTGACCCTCTCTTACCTGAAAGAGTCTGTGGTTCGTGCCTTAAGGTATAAGGTGGTTGACCCTCTCTGAATCTTGAAAGTGCTTGAGAATCAGATCTCATGCCTAAAGATATAAGATGGTGGACTTTTTTGGTTTGGCTTTAGGCTGGAAACATTGATTCTCTCATGGCTGAAAGAGTTAGAGACTAGTGCCTAAAGATATGAGATGGTCGATTCCCTCTCATGGCTTCAGGCATGAACCTCTGACTTTTTCATGCTTGAAAGACACGAGAAGAACCACCAACAGAAGAAAGTTTTCAAAGCAGAATTACTAATTCTAGAGATAATTTTAGAGACATTGAGATGGCAAATCGATTCATGTTCCACATTAAAATATTCTTATTTACAGCACGAGATTAAACAAGTTCCACTTACAAGACAATCACTTTGTTTAGTTTCTATGCGAGATATTTATTAAGATTTTCTTCTTGTTCCCATCTGCTTAAGTGTACTTTAGTTTCTTTTGTTACGA